CATACGAAAAGGATGATCAAGACAAAACAAAACGAAGAAACACTTACCTTAATTCATCCCAAAACAAGATAAAAGCCCCAAGGAAATTCTAAGTTCATAGATGAAATTATAGGAAAAGAAAAGAAATATGTATTATTTCCACTAAGTTAATAATAATAATAAGGTTAAACTATACTCATTTACTCAACTGTTTTCTCACTCTTATTTTGATTATTGAAGTTTAAATTTTTTTAATTTAATCACTCAAACTTTAAATTATTCATTTTATAATCGTTTTGATTTTTATTAATATTTTTAATGTTGTGATGTATTTTATTAATGTTTTTATAACACAGGTTCAGGTTTTTAGACTGGAAATTGAAGTTTATAATGTTTTTAATTTGATTTCTGGTTTAGGTTCAGTGAGGGTGCAATCGATAAAGGTACAATTTGTTATAATGAAGATTAGTGTTTGAGGTTTTTAGATTGGAATTTGAAGATTATGGTTTGTATATTAAGGTTTGGGATTGAAATTAGGGTATGATAATTTTTTATTTTAAATCCTACATGATATTAAATACTAATAAAATTTACGTGTTATAGAAAAATATTAATAAAATAATCTATGTCATTATACAGTGATCAAAATAGGAATCATTTGAAAGTTAAGGGATAAAATTTAAAATTTATAAATTTTAATGATTAAAATAAGAGTAAAAATATAATTGAATAATGAATAATATAATTTGTCCTGATAATAATGGAGGTGTGGGGGAACGGTTGGAATGACGTGTGATACAATTATACGAAGGAAATGAAACGCAGCTTTGGCTGTCGTGCAACGAAGTGGTAGTGGTGTTGGCACTCGGCAGCACAATGAGGGAGAGAGGTGATTGCGTATGTGAGGGATTTAGAAATACATTTAAATATTGATAAAATTATAAAATAGATATAATTAATAAAATAATTAATTAAATAAAAGATTTAAATTTTAAGACGAATACATGAAACTACTATTAAGGATAAGGGTGGAATTATATAATTATGAGGTGCTTATGGCATCAACGCGTGGCAGTTGGGAAAAGAGGGAAAGAAAAAACAAAAACACTATGCTTCCGTTCCCTCCTAATTCCTATCCTTCTCCAACTAAATCATCTATCATAATTTGATCGTAATAAAAATAAGGGTAAAGTATAGTAATGGTCACTGAACATTTCTGAAGCTTGCATTTAGGTCCTTCAACTTTTAAAACTTACAATACAATCCTTCAACATTTATTCCGTTTACAATATGGTCCCCCAACTTAAACCATTGTTAGAAAATTAGGGTAAATTATATAAATGGTCATTGAACTTTTCAGGCACTTGAATTTAGGTCCCCAACTTTTAAAACTTGCAAACCAGTCCCCCAATAATTTTATTTTCTTATTAAATATAGATGTATAGAAAATATAAATGATTCAATTTATATTTAAATGTATGAATCATTTATATTTTTGATATATTTTATTTTTCTTGTATAAACTAGTATTTAAAATATGTTTATTTTAATCAAAATATTTCAATATACGAATAAAAATATATTTATATAAATGTATATTTATATTTAGATGTATAAATAAAAAAAAATATTCATATATTAATGTATGAATCATTTATATTTTTTGAATATTTTATTTTTAATAAGAAATTAAAATTATTAATTATATTAGAAATACTCAACTTAAGATTATATATATAATCATGAATTATAAATATGAAAAATATAATTATTAAATTTATTTTAAAAATATATAAATCTTAAATTTATTCTTTTAAAATATTGTATCAACTAATATTTAAAAAATATATTAAATCTATCAAACAATTTATCAAATATAATATTTTTTATTGTAAAAAAATATAATATTTTCCCATCATTTATTGCTTTCAAATTTTTTGCCGAAGTTCAAATCTCATTATTTCCATTTTCCATTATATTCTTTTTTTTTCTGGCATTGGTCATACTATTAGTATATGTATTATTGTATATCTCTTAACACAAACGATGGTGTTAGCTTAGTGGCTCCACCCTGTATCTTTCATTTGCGTGACTCAGGTTTGAGTTTGCCCAAGACCCAAATTTTACTTCTTTGTAACTTAATTTTCTTCTAATTAGGTGGTGACATGTGTCACCAATAACACATATCAGGATCATGTGTTAACACATGTCAGATCCTGGTTAAATGATTAATTTATTAAATTTTATTTAATTTAGGACCAAATTGATAGCATATATAAATAATTAGGTGGTGACATGTGTCACCAATGACACGTGTCATGATCATGTGCTAACACATGTTAGATCATAATTAAATGATTAATTTATTAAATTTTATTTAATTTAGGACCAAATTGATTATATAAATAATAAAGACTGAATGTATAATAATGTCAATTCCTTTTAACTGCCACATCATCATTTTTTTCAATTGGTAACGACTAGTGACTTAGTTGAAACAGTTAAATAATTATGTTGTATGATTGATAAATTTAAAAGATCGATGACAAAAGTAAAAAGGGCTAGATAGTTAAGTTATCAACCGAGTAGTTTACACTTTTATTTATACGTCAAAATAACATTTTATAAATTTAAAATTCGAATTATTTTCAACCTCTTCTATATCCTAACTATTTTTTTTAATTAAAAAATTTCTTCAACAGATAAGAATTATACTATTATATTTATATAAAAAATACGTATCACATGAAATAAGATGAAATTAAATAATAATAAATCTGACATAATTGAATTGAATTGAATTGTTTTGGAATTTAGGGTTTAGAATGAAATTGAATTACTTTGGAAATTGGGGTTTAGAATGAAATTGAGGACTGTTTTGCAAGTTTTAAAAGTTGGGGGACCTAAATTCAAATGTCTGAAAAGTTCAATAACCGTTTATATAATTTATCCTAATTTCTAACGGTGGTTAAAGTTAGGGGACCATATTGCAAACGGAATAAATGTTGGGGGACTGTATTGCAAGTTTTAAAAGTTGGGGGACCTAAATGTAAGCTTCAGAAATATTCAGTGACCATTACTATACTTTACCCTAAAAATAATGACGTAAGAAAGATCAAGAATTCGAACACTAGTGTTTGTGAATATAGTAAATTCGGTTGGAAGGATTGTTTTTGCTTTTGTAATACCTGATTTAGGTTGGTCAATTAATAGATCGGATACAAATGATTAATTCAAAAATAATAATAATGATATAATATAATATAATAATAATTTTAATTTTAATTTTTAAAATTTAAATTTAATAATTCGTTAGTAGTTTAATAAATCTAGGGCAAACCTTTAAACAAAGAACAAGAAGAAGTCCTCCGTTCCAAACCCGCCGTCTCTGCCCTCAAAGATGTGGAGATTTTCTTCTCATGTTTACGTTTATATTTATGCGGCACGTTGACGAAGCTCTCGGCGAATTCCGTGTTGTGCGGTCCGATCTCAATGTCATCTTCGTCGTTGATGTAAACGTCGAAAATTTCAGCGCTTGTTGCATGTCGAACTCGATTTTTCTATCACCAACAGTAACATCAAGAATCAACCGTCGACTATCAATGTTGCTAATATCTAAACCTCAACCGGAAACTGCACTTCTACTTTATTACTCCACACCTTCAACTTCTTAACTGCTATCTGCAAGTATATAAGGAGAATGAGATCGAAAGAAACATAAAACAATAGAAAAACGTCAAGAAGATTCTTTTGATTGCAGCACAAACAAAACAAAATCAATTTAAAAAACAAACATGGAGACTACATGCATTGTTTAGAGAACGAGTGTCACTATTTTGAAGATTGTTCCATTGCACCTATTACGAGTGAATATTAAGCAATGCTATTGCACAATATTTTGATCTGTATTTGTTGTGACTTTGTCAAAATAGCCCTTACACCTATTATCCAATGGTTAGATATTTAAAAACAATTGTTATAATATATTTTTTATTCTTTTAATTAGATCCTTATTTTATTAAATAAAAATTAGAACTATATTTGGATCGAGTCGACTCAATTTGAGTTTTTATCTTAAACTTTAATTGAATTGAGTATCGATTAAAAAATAAAATTCTCAGATTGAATTCGAATCAACCAAAACCAATCCAATATGACATGTTGTCATTCCTACATGAGAGACTATGGGTACATAAACAACCTTTCTATTTATATCCGACTTAATACTATATATATTCTCCATAATCCTTAAGTTAATAGTTAATATATATTTATGAGTTTTTTAGATGCTATATCGATAATTGTACCAACTAAATTAAAATTTAGGGTAAATTATATGCTTAGTATCTAAATTATTACTTTTATTTCGTTTTGATACCTAAACTTTTTTTTTCAAAATCATATTAACGTTTAGTTTATGTTTTAATTTAGTACCCACCATTAAAAAAATAATAAAAATGCTAATGTGGCTTTTTTTAATGATGATGTGGCACTACCATATGGTGACACGTTAATATCACCGTTAAGTTTTTAATAATGGGTACCAAAATTAAACATAAACTAAATGTTAAGTATGATTTTGAAAAAAAAATAAAGTTTAGGTACCAAAACATAATAAAAGTAATAGTTTAGATATTAAAAGTATAATTTACCCTAAAATTTGATTGTGTGATAATTAAGTGGATAAATTCTCTAAAATTAAATAAATCAAACATTTAACTTGATTAATCCAATACAAATCTCATCTAAAAGAGTATTCTCTTATTAAGTTTTGAAATGATAAACTACAAGAAGAAGAAAAACCACTAAGATACTTCCGTATAGTATTAAATTGCTACAACAATGCTTTGTAATGATCGCATTGTAACGTTTTTCAAGATCATCGTAACACTGCAATCGCATTCGCAATGTAAAATCGTAATTAATTTTAAAAAATAAATCACGTTGTAACAACTATAACACCCGCAATGGAAACATCGTAATCACAACCGCAATTTAATACTATCTTCCTATTATCAAATAAAATGTGACGATAAACAAATTTGTGTTCGAAAAAATGACACTAATGGATCAATCTCGAGCAAACTCAATCTTGATGCCACCAATCTTAGCAAAACCCTTACCAAATCTAGGCACCAAAGTGACAACAATAGCATCATCACCCTCAACATCCAATTCCTCCAACAAGTCCGTCAGCCCTAACCTCAATGATGTGTTGATTTTCTTCCCATGTTTATGTTTATGTTTATGTGGCACATTGACGAAGCTCCCGGCAAACTCCGTGTTGTGCGGTCCGATCTCCATGTCGTCTTCGTCGTTGATGTAGACGTCGAATTTCAGCGCTTGTTGCGGGTCGAACTCGATGTTTTTGATCACCAACACTTCTTCTTCCTCTTCTTTGGCTCTCTTGCTCCTTAATTTCTTTGGCCTCGCAACTTCGAGGCTAACATGGTTGTTTAAAACAAGAGGGAACTCGACGTTGGTTATGATCTTTCTCTTTGTCTCGGCTGCATTTGCAACTCCGGCGAGGGCTCTTTTCGTTTTACTCATAGTCCTTGCGGGAGTTGGTTTACTGGCTAGCCAGGGAATATCAACGTTTTGATACTCATATCTTAATTTTCTAGTGTCGAGACAATCTCGCACCTTAACACGAACAAGATTCGCGTTTTCGTCGTAGAAAAGGAAGGCCGAGTTGAGCCAATCCGAGTCGGTGAAGTCGGTTCGTCTCCCTCCCAACGTCTTCCAAACGGCCCACATCCGGTCCACATTCGAGTGATGCGCGAAGAAAATAGGGTCTCTCGCAGCCGAATAGAAGTTACCCATGTTTTCGAAATTCGGTTGTCTATCGTCAGCGCACCAAATGTGGACCGGTCCGTGAGGGATGTTCTCAAGAGAACCGGCACCGGGGTCCGGTTCGTCGCCGGCACGGTAAGCATTCCCTAGGAAAAGCCTAGCGGTTTTTCCATTAGACACCATTTGTCGATACATGACGCTAAGGTTACTCGAAATCTGATCATTACTCGACGAACTCTCGTCGGAACCATTGAAATCGAGATCGAGGAGATTGGGAGGTAGATGATCGGTGTTGCGAAGACGATCGTAGAACGGAGAATTAGGGTTTGCATAGAATGAAGGCATTTGCATGCCGGCCGGAGCATCCCAGTTCCAAAACGGAATGGCGAAAGTTGGGTCATCAATCAAATTCCCCAAGATTTTTTCAAAGAAATAAAGATAATATCTATGGAAAGGGAAGAAAAACCATGAATTATGAACTTGAAAATCAAGATCTGGGAATCCAATTTGGTGATAAGCTCCATTACAGTAAGCACAATGAACATTTGCTTGTTGCATGAAGCTTCGTGGATCTTCAGCTGGAAGAGCTTTCATCAGCTCCAACGCCTTGGAAAACTTAGCCAAGAAATCATCCGTAACTAAATGCGCAGCCGGCCTAGTGCGCAATGGGGCGGTCAAAGGCGGGAGCTTGAAATCGACGATCTCCGTCGTCTGTCGTACCGGAGGGCAACAATTGAGGTTTTCCAGACCCATAGGAAGGTCTGCTCGGCCGCATTGAGTGATGTCGGGACCGGCAATCGGCGCCGCGAATGCCAACGGATCGTTTAGGGTGGCCGCACCGTAGAGACCTCCAAGGCCGAGGAGGACATCTCTTCTATCGAACTTGTTTTGATTATCACCATTTGTGGCTTTGCATGACACTGCTTTGGAGATGAACTTTGGCTTTCGCTTCCCAGCTATGAAAAGTTGGGATGTTCTTGGAAGGAAAGAAGAGGTGTCGGAAGTGATGGGGGAGGACACGGCTGTGGTGGCGGCGGAGGAGGATGGTGGTAGGACAGAAGCCATAATTTGAATTGGTCTGTGTCAAGTGTGATAATCAGGGGACTTCCATATTGTTTTTATAATGCATAAGATTGGACTTTTCTCTGCATGCATACGCACGTTAGATAATAAAATAGTTTTTATTCAATATTGTGTTAATTTATGTTAGCTTTTAAGATTTTCATAATCATATTTGATAAAATAGATTTTAATTTTGTGTTTCACTAAAAAAAATTACAGCCGCCCCCCTTTTTTAACCTAGATTTTTCTCTCGTTATCTTTTACCGCCTCCCATTCCCCCTTTTATTTTTGTTTAGCCGTAAGCAGAGTCAATTTTAATATTAGTTATTATCTTTGATGATTATTAGTTTTTTATTTTTCGTATTATATCTTTGTTTTTTATATTTTTTTAATTTTAAATAAAAATATCCATTCTTGTGATGCATTTTCTCTATTCTTATAGTACGCGTTTTTTTCTTGTGACATAATTTTTATGACATTTGGTACGTTTTCGTACACCTTTATGATCGTTTTGGTACTCGTACAAAGATCTTTACAACATTTGTTTTCTGATTAGTTTATCGGTAATCACGTATAGTTAGATTCTTCTTTGGTAAAAGTTATTTGTCGATATAATCAAAATTGTGTAACAAAACAGCCTACCATATAGTTTGCTTCGCTCACCACTTCTTTATAACTTCGTAAATTGTCTCATTGATAAGGAACACAAACCAAGCGACCTCAATAGTTAAGGGATTTGTTGTTATCCCTTGAAGTCTCATGTTCAAGCACCGCGTATGCAGAGATATTAGCGTTCATTGTTAAAGAGTTGAAATTTTTTAAATAGATACTATTTTTATTCACCTCAGATTTATAGAAAAAAAATACATCATTATATTTAGATACAAAATTCTTAAGTTCGAGTTACACATGTTCAGTTTATTTGCTTGGTTTAGTTTGGATCAAATTTAAAGATATGATATGATTGTATGGTAATGAAATCATGTTTAGTATTCATACATGTGTAATATAAAAGTAATGTCATTGATATGTATATGAAATTAAAAGTATATCGACTTTGTTAATTAAATTATATGAATATGATTAATTTGTCTTTTTGCACATATGTTTTATGTATAATATATGTTTTTTTAAATATATTTATTTTTTAATATTTAATAATTTATCATTTTATAGTTTGTGATATATTTTTAATTTTTTAATAACAATATTATATATATATATATATCATGTAGAGTTGAGAACCAATTAAAACTTGAAACCAATCTACTAATTATTAAAATGTTTGAGTTATTCGAGTTTTATTTTATAACTAAAATTTTATTTAAAAATTTTTCAAGTTGAGTTTATGAAATTATCGTCGAGTCAAGCTAAATCGAATCGAATTTTTCAACATTAAATCAAATCAAAAAATTTAATTATGCAATCAAATTTTATTCAACCCTAAAGATTGCTTTTATACATGGGTGTAGATGTTTTATTATTATTATTGATTAATATTACATTCATCAACTGTTCACATTTTAAACTAATTTAATGCCATGTGCTATACCAAATTCACTGTTAACTAATTTAATATATGTCTCAATGCAGAGTATTAGTTATACCAAATCCATTATTAAATAACCTCGTAAATTGTTAAATACTATATACCATCGACTAATGCGGATCATGTTGGGTCATACCTTCTTTAACGTACTTCTCAAAGTCTAAATTGTTTTTTCTTAACTAAGATTTTCTTAATCACTCCCTATCTCAATGTGTACGTATCAATTTATTTTAATAGTATAGAGTGGTGACATATCTAAGACTTTTCTTGGGTAGACACATATTCATTTTAAATTTTAAATATTTTAAATTAATTATTCATTTTATTGATGATACTCATCCTAAAATGAAAAAATAATCTCAGTGACCGAAAATTCCTTATAACATACGATTTTGACCAAATTTTTTTTTTTCGATTTGCCAAAATGACCAACAAAATCGCAATGCGATCTCTAAATCGCAACGCGATCTCCAGTATCGCAAATCAGTTTCCAGATTCGCAACGCGATTTTGACTATCGCATTGCGATTTTCCAAATTCACATTGCAATTTTAGAAAATCGCAATGCGAATATGTAAATCGCAACGCGATTCTGACTATCGCAACGCGATAATACATAATCGCAACGCGATTCTGACTGTCGCAACGCTGAATTTCAAATTCGCAACAGGTTTTAGTTTCGCAACATAAATGTTTTGGGTATATAACTACGCAGCAGCAGCAACTCATAACCTAAATCCCTAAATCGCAACTCATTCCATCTCCATCTGTCACTCTCTCCGGCGACATCCGTTCCTATATCTAACGACATCCTTCCCCATCCGGCAACAGGTTTTAGTTTCGCATCTCGTTTGTTTAATAAATTAATTTACAATAATGAAATCATCTAATGTTGATCATGTTTGGATAGATTTGTGTTTTGGAGGGTCATGGGAGAATGTTCATGGTGTTTTACAATATATGCCTTTACCCATGAATCTTCAACTAAAACTGTCATTAAAAAAGTTAACTTATAAAACTCTAAAGTTACGTGTTGTAAATAAATTGAATTTAGAGCCCCTAAGTGGATTTAGGCTATATTATCAGAGAAAAGGTAAAGTTTATTTGTTAACCGACAATGAAGATGTTGAACGATTCATTGCTTACATTAGTGTTTCGCAAGATGATGTTACATTATATGTTGTTGAACCTAGAAGTAGTGAAGTTGGGTCAGTAGCGGGTAGTAATCAACTAAGTTTTTCAACCCCAGTTTATGGTACTCAAAATTTAATGGTTCCACCACAATTTCATCACCAAGCAAATTTTGTTTCACCACATTTTCAATACCAAACACAATCTCAAAACCCACAACCTTTCCCTAATCCAAATCTCAATCAACTTTCAGCACCAAATTCCGGTTTTCGTATTGACCAGTTAGACGATGATGAGCCAACAGAAAAAATTGCGAGTACTAGTCAGTATTCGAAATTTGATATTGGTCAATACACGGACTTTGATCTTGGTCAATACTCGGATTTTGATGATGTTTCAGAAGAAGAAACAGACCCTGCGTGTAATGATTTTGATATTGGTCAATACTCGAATTTTGATGATGAAACAGCCGCTGCTGAGGAAGATGTTGTTGATGATAATGAGGAGGAAGTTACGACTGTGAATGAACATGTTGAACATCCATTCTGTAATTCATATAACCCTGAAGAAGAAGAAGAAGAAGAAGAAGAAATCCTCGAAGAAAAGTCCTCGAAGAAAATGCCACGGGAGTATAACTGGAATATGCTAGAATTGCTTCATATACCGGAAGAAGAGTTGGTAAAGATAGCAGTTGATTGTTATACAAAAATTATTCGTATCAAGAAAGATGATTGTTTTGATACAAAGTAAGACTTGAAGATAGCTTTGTATACGAAATGTGTGGAAGATGGCTATCAACTAAAAATTAACAAATCAAGCAAAGATCGTTTCGAAACAAGGTGTATGATTGACAAAAATTGTACGTGGCGTATGATTGTAAAGAGGATAAAAGATTGCGAAATGTTTCAAGTTAGGACTTTTATTGATAAACATACATGTTCAAGAACCCAAGTTTTTCCTCACCATAGATAGGCAAACAAAAAGGTGTTGTGTGGTTTTCTAGCTGAGTTAATGTTTTTGAATGGCAGGGTATATCGGGGACATGAAATTATGACTGACATGAATGCTCGGTTCAAAATTAGTATCTCATATTCTCAAGCTTGGAGAGCCAAATGTTATGCCTTGGAATTGTTGAGGGGGTCGCCAGAAGCATCGTTTGCCCAACTGCCGGTTTATTGTCACAATTTAAAGCTGAAAAATCCTGGGTCGGTAACTCATATCAAAACAGATAGAGATGGACGCTTTGAGTTATTGTTTATCGCCATTGGTGCTGCGGTTAGTAAATAATTATAATTTTGTTGACTCATTTTTGTTAGTTGCATGCATTTCACATTTAAATGATTATATTTCTTGTGTATATGATTTTGTAGATTCGTTCGTTTATTACTTGCATGCGCCCAGTTATTATAGTTGATAGAGCATATTTGAAAGGTCGATACCTTGGAGTAAACTTATTAGCAGTAGCCATGGATGCTAACAATGGGATACTGCCAATAGCTTACGGGGTTGGCAAATCTGAAACCTCTGATTCATGGACATGGTTTATGGGGCATCTTAGGGATTGCATAGGTCCTATTAGTAATCTGACAATCATATCCGATAGGACAAACTCAATTGACAACGTTGTTAGAAGGTGTTTCCCATATGCTTTTCATGGACTTTGTGGTGTTCATTTGTATAGAAATCTAAAATCAAGGTCTGCTGGTATAAAAAATCACAAATGGACATACTGGAAGGCTATAAAAGCTTATCGGGAAGTGGATTTTAATAAGCATATAAATTGTTTAAGACGTGTTTTGCCTCAGTGTGCTCAAACACTAGAAGATGTCGGGTTTAAAAGATGGTCAAGAGTACATCAACTTGGAGCAAGATATGGTTTCAAGACGTCTAATAGTGCAGAATCAATCAACGCTCTAAGTCGTCATTCCCGGAAATTACCCATTACTATTTTAATGGAGTTTTTTCGAGCCTCTATTCAACAGTGGTACTACAAGAAAAGAAACCATATATGTATTATTTCTTTAAATTCGTAACTTATCATATATTTTACTAAGTATTATTTATTTAAATTTACAGGAACATTGGAATATCGTGTTACACCATGGACTGAAAAAAAGATAACGAAACATGTTGTGAAGTCAACGTCATGGAGAGTTGAACCATGTTCAAACACTTTGTTTGAAGTATTGGATAATAACTTAAATGGGCTTGTCGATCTAAATGCAAAGACGTATAGTTGTATGAAATGGCAAACATCTGGTTATCCGTGTGACCATGTTATAAAAGTTGCTCTTCATATAAACCAAGATGATTCAAGCGCATACGCTATGGATTGC